CCCCCCCCGCCTCCGCGGCGCCCGGCTGTTGGTACCGTCCTAGCGTAACGCCTTCCCTGCGACCAATCCCAGGGCTCACTCTGCGAGGCCCCGCCCCCGCCCTCCGGTGGGCGGGCCTACCAGGCTCGCTCCGGACGGCCCTGCTTAACCCTTCCCGTCCTGGGCCAGCCGCGTTTAACTCCCTCGGCGCCGCCTCCCGTCTCTTCCTCCTCCTCCCTGCCGCCCGCCCCGCTTGCAGAAACTGACCTCGAACTTCTCTCTTGCTTTCGCTTTTCCTTTCCTAATTTTCGGAAGCAGGTAGGAGACCAGGCAGCGGGACTGGAGAGTTGGGGTCCTGTAGGTCCAATTCTACTTGTGAGAAGCGATTTCCCTACTCCTTCTGCCCATTTAATTTGCCTCGACTGATGCTTCTGCCTATCAAAGTGTATCCTTCTTGCCCAAAAGAGGCCAGCCTTCCTACAGCGCGCACAAGTCGCTCTTCCTTGGGACCAGAGCAAACTCCCTGCTACAGTTAGTAGCATTTCGCAAAACTGTACTTAGTTTACTGTACTCTTAGTTGTTTAATGTCTGTCTCTTGCAGTGGACGGACTGTAAGCCCCACGAGGGCAGGGCAGCGTGTCCCTGTCTCCAATGCCCGACACCAAGCAGACTCCCTGTAAATGGTTTGCATGAAAATTCTCCTTCCCTTTAAGTTGCTTCCTTTCCACTGACTGCATACAGATCATCTGCTGTATCATTATTCCTTTATTCACCATATGCTAAGCTTGGACTTAGTGTATGTCTGAAATATAATGCACGTTGCTTTGTGGGATAAGATGTGTGAGAGGGGGAAAGACCGAGCTAACACTTTGTTCAGGCTACGTAATTCATTTAAGCAGTAGGGTGTAGTGGGTAGAACGCCTCCTCGTGGGTAGTGTGATATTGGGTGTGCCACCGAACTGCTCAGAGTATCGGTTTCCTTATCTGCAAAATGGGAGTTAATCATAGTCCCTATTTCAACAAGGTTGTTGTGAGGTCCAAATTAGGAAATGTGTGGGGAAAGTACTTTTGCCTTATTGTATAATATATGAGTTATTGTGCATGTGTGTATTTACTGAGCACTTACCATCAGAAGAGCCTAGAGAAATAACTGGGCTTGACACCAGTCCCAGACAGTCTAGTTAGGGAGGCTGCCCCTCTGCAGAAAACAGTCCCTGCAAGGAGTCCACTGTCAAATACAGGAGGAGTTGTATCAGCTTTTCACTGGATGTAGTGGAAAGGGCTTGGGGGTCATTTTCTGACCATGGCATACATAATTCTTAAGGAAATGAGCTGGATAGTTGAGAGTCTGCCTAATTTCTCTGCATAGGAACACTGGTCTGACTGCCATCAGATAATCTCCCTGAAGCTTGTTCACGACATCAGAAGATCATAAACCAACAGCGCAAAGCCACAGTTCCTCTAAGATCCTTTACTTGAAGGAGGACTCTCCTCCTTTCTTGCCTGGAACTCTATCAAGGGTAGTGAGGGTTGACTGTCAAACTGTCACTGCTCAGGGGAAGGCCAGCACAGCCTACAGCTTCAGCTTCCTGGAGATCCCTTCTGGCACTAAGGACATTGAGAGAGGTGGGTTCATGGTTTCTCTGGGCAAGCCATTCCAGGGCTTAATTTCACATCCGTCAGATCCTTCCATCCACCCCATAGGCCGCAGGAGAGACACACTCTCTCCTCTTCTGTCTTTATAAATGGCGAGCCCAGGATTCAGGACCTTCCTGCTTTCAGACAGCAAAATTTCAGCCCCCCACTTTTCTTTTCACTGGGCCACATGATCCAGGCTCTCTGCCAATGTGTACGCAGCACCAACACAGTCCTGACCCTCCACCATGTTCTTTTCTGCCCTCTCTTCCTCGAATGCGCCTTGTTTCCCAACCAATTGACCGTCAGTATATTCTAGGTACTGTGGGGGATGCAGTCCTTTAAGAAGGGGATGCTGCCCTCAAAGAGTTCATATGACTGGAGCACAGGAAGCAGCTACAAGGGATACGGGGGACTTAACTTATGCAGCACAGACGCTGTGATCGCTGAAAGAAGCAGGGTTCAGGAAGATAGTGTGGGCTGGTAGTGCCAGTGAGCGAGGATTAAGGTGAGCAAAATATGGGTGGGAGAAGAGAGGGACAATATGAACTGAAGTTAGGTCATGCTATGTGAACTTAAAGGCAGACATCCTCAGCCGATGATAGAGAATGGGAGAATTTTCTTCCTTCCTTCCATCCTTCAATGAATGTCTACCAAGTGCCAGACACTGAGCTGGACCCAGCCCATGGAAAGGCCAAAGAAAGCCTGGTTCTCATCTTTGAGAAGCTGACAGCCTAGTCTTGGGAAATTGAACAGAAGGTCAGGCAGAACCCCCATTAGGAAGGTCTGAGACTTTGCTGAAGCTTCTGGGATGCTTCTTTCAGAACTTGTGATGTAGTTCTAGCTCTGTCCTCAGTAGAGGAATCTTGGTTTGTAGCCCAGTGCAGAATCCTCCAGTGGCTTGTCCGCGGCCTACAGAATTCAATAGCAAGTTCTCTGCTTGGCATTTCCAGGCCCAGTGCACCTTTCCAGGCCCACGTTCTGCTAATCTCTTACCTTCCACCCTAAAGGACTCACTTGCTCTGAAAACATCCCCTTTTCTGCACCCATGGTTGTAATCATCCAGATTCTTCCTCTGGGGCTCCCACCTCACCCCAACCCCATCTCCTCCTGTGAAAATGTTATATATCTTTCAAATACCATTTGTTCATGAAGCCTTTCCTGGCCTTTGCAACAGTCCGTGTACTCCTGGGCTTCTAAGACTCAGTCCTTTGTGCCTCTTTTGCAGTATGGTTTGTATTGATATCTTTGGGGATATCTCTGATCCCTTCCCCTGGATTGTAAACCCTTCAGGGCCAAGGAGAGTGTTTTATTCACATCTGTATCTTCCTTAGCACTAACACTGTCCATGGCCCATGGTGAACACTCAACACTTGAAAAATAAGTTTTAGAACAGGTCCTGTAGACATGGGGAATCAGAAGCACCAGAGGTTTCTTTCTTGGCCTCTTCATCATTGCGTTTTCCTTAACCTGTTTCAGAATTTCCAGGTCCCTGCCGATTTGTCAAGCCCCAGGACTCAAATAGCAGTCCAGCAATCCCAAGGTATAAGGGGAGTAGTGTCTGAAGGTGCCCGTATACACCAGCACCAATAGAACACACACACACACACACACTCCTTTAAAGAAAATACACCCACAATGATGGATCCTACTAAAACTAATTAAGTTAATACTACATCAAGAAAGTTGAAGGGAAGAGACTCTTTTTTTTTTTTTATTTGAGACAGAGAGAAAGAGAGAGAGAGCACATGAGAGGGGGGAGGGTCAGAGGGAGAAGCAGGTTCCTTGCTGAGCAGGGAGCCCGATGCGGTACTCGATCCAGGGACTCCAGGATCATGACCTGAGCCGAAGGCAGTCGCTTAACCAACTGAGCCACCCAGGCGCCCCAGGGAAGAGACTCTTAATCTCAGGAAACAAACTGAGGGTTGCTGGAGTGAGGGGGTGGGAGGGATGGGGTGGCTGGGTGATGGACATTGGGGAGGGTATGTGCTATGGTGAGCGCTGTGAATTGTGCAAGACCGATGAATCACAGACCTGTACCCCTGACACAAACATTATATGTAAATAAAAATAAAGAAATTAAGAGAAAAAGAAAGCAAGCTGGAAGGGAGCTGGAGGCGAGCTCTCCCGGTGCGCGGTGCTAGGAGCCAGGGAGAGGGAAACAGGATTACTGAGTGAAGGAGCACAGGTGTCCCTCCCAGGAATGGGAGCTGGAGTCCTGGCCCGCTGCCTCGGGGCAGGATTGTTCTCTGCATGGCGCTCTCTGTGGACTGCTGCCTCTGCATTTCTTTCCCAGCTGGGCAAACTCCTTTCCCTCCCTTTGCCACCGGCTCTACAGAGCCACTCCTAGTCCACCCCTTGCTTACAGAACTGGGACTGTCCACTTAACCCTTCATGGGGCGTGTCTGTCATCTGAGTGAGCCTCTCAAGCCCCAGGGACCCCCCCACCCAACCCATGTCCCGGCCTCTCTGCCAAGGAATTGTTCAGGATGTCTATATCTAAAAGTGGTGCAAATCCTTCAGTTGTTTATTTCCATCCTAGTATTTTTTTTTTTAAAGATTTTATTTTATTTATTTATTTATTTTAAAGATTTTTATTTATTTATTTGAGAGAGAGAGAATGAGAGAGAGCACATGAGAGGGG